AGCTCAATGAAAATGACCTGGCCAGCTATACCACTGACCAGAACGGCACTGCTGCTTTTTCCATCGACACGTCCAACTTCTTTGATCCCAGCTTTAAGTTGAGCGTAAGTAAATACAGGCTTCAGTCTAACTCCTGAAAAAATACTTCACTGGAGAGAGAGATTAGAAGCAATCGGTGGGTTCTGGCAGGTTTGTTTCAGATGAGGGAAGTAGGCAGTCGGTCCACCAACACCTGCAACCTGTGTGAAACTAGTAGGAGAAAGCACCAGTGCCTAAGAAGTGGCAGACTGCACTCCAGGAGTGCTAGGGCTGCAGTCACCTTCAGCACCTCCCTACTTTTCCCTCCTCCCAGAAAACCTTTCTGCAGCCATCTTCCTTCTCTTTATCCTGTGCTCTAAAGGACCTTTCTCACAGACTGCCCTGCCTTCTCCACCCAGCATAGATGCACACCAGCTTCTTCCCCTGCTGCTGCCTGCTTCCCTGCATTGCTGCTGACACACTCATGCCTGTTACCATCACATGGTCTTCTAGTTTTCTCATGCCTTTTCTCTGGTTTGACGGGAAGAGCTGAGAAAAAGAAGGCTGTTTGAGAACAATGCCATTCTAACTCACAAGAAGTCCTAGAAATTTATACAACCTGTCCCGAGCCTGTAAGAATCCGAAATAAACTGACTACCACAATGGGCCGTAGGTGTCACAATGTGCCATGGGTTTCTGGATACATTAAGGGGTTCAGAAGGCCTCCTGCTCTGGACTGGTTAAGCACAATTTTTTCACATCAGCTCTTCCTCTTGGCTTAAACAGCCCCATAAAATCAGCTCCTCAACAGAACATTTTACTGGGAAGATGCCTTTGCCTCTCACCTGCCTGTCATTTTTTTATTTTCCACTCTGTTCCACATGTATGACTTTTCCACTTCATAGGTCAGGCAGGCCCCAGACGACTGTGCAGACTTCTTCATCTGGAGGAATGATAATGAGCCCCAAGCCTCATTCTTTATCCGGCGCTTCTACTCACGGACCAACAGCTTTGTGAAAATCGAGCCAGTGAGGGAGAAGCTCAGCTGTGGTCAGCAGCGAATAATCAATGTTCACTACGTCCTGAATGGAGAGGGCTACAAGAATGCCAGATACACAAACTTCTACTATGTGGTAAGTGCTGCCTTGGCTACCAAAACATCTATTTTCTTTTACTTTCTCTTGAACACCACAGCAGGCAGAAATCTCCAGGCCAGACAGGGCTTACAGATCACAGCTCGACTTGATGGCCTTTGAAGCCTCTCAGAATACTACTCAAAATCAATGATTTCATGGGGGAAGGGAGGAGGTGCTTCTGATCCTGTCTCATAAGGCCTTTTTCTATGCCCAGGTGATGACAAATGGAAAAATTACTCTTAGTGGCCAGAAGGAAGTCCGCACCTATGGTGGTAAGTTCTAGGCCATATTATCATATATGACCATATCATCTAGGCCATAAGTATCATATACTAATAATACTTCAAAGCATCATTCTGAGCATCAGAGTATTAGTAAGTTTTGTAAGAAGGGATGAAAGTAGAGAACTGCAGTGAAATCAGGTACTAGTTCTAAACCCCATGACCTGTCCCTACTCACAATATTACTCGCATTTGCTGCAGCATCCAGCCAATCCTCCATATCATAATCAAATCGATCCTGTTAGTTGAAAGATGAAAACTTTGTTGTGATCAAATACCAAGGAATGTAACCTTATTCTGTTTTGTTTCTCGCCAAGGACTATTTGCAATTTCAGTTATTCTGTGATGTCTAAGTCTTCACCGATTAGAAGACTAAAACTTTTTGAAGTTTGAAATATTTGGTGTCTCATTTGACAGGGATATTTATCAGTTAACTGCTTGGAATTCATTGCACTTTCAGAAGCCTCCAAATACCCATGAATGACAACGATCCTACCAATCACAGCAAACTAAACTTTGTTCCTTCATTGTCAAAAATTAATTTTCTTGCAGAACCTGGTCTATTTCCAGTCTTCAGTAGGTGGCTTAAGTAAACCTTACTCCACATATAGGACTTGTTGTTTAGTATTTGCCATCTTTGGTCTTTCTCTGTGTATTCATGCCTTATGGCTGCCAGTATAGATTCCCTATGGTTTAGGGAAAGGCATCCCATTCATCAAAAGGCAGCTATGTTGCATGATTTTCACTTCATGAAAACAGCTTGAAGCCATGTGTTTTTTCCATATTATTGGGGGCTAACACTAAGGTTTGTGATGGCGTGTGACTCATCAAAACCTATATGAAAGCTTAATTTCCTGTCCCTGCTTTAGTAGGTGTCCTCCGTGTAGATAACAACTTCATATTTACTAGTGTTAAGAGAGCTCTCCCTTAGCTCAGGAGGTTGGCCTGTCTCTTCTGGTGTAGGAGGTTCCAGGTTTGAGACCCAAAGGCAATGTTGTGCTCTTCTCATAGCACATGCAGAGATTTCCCTGTCCAACTTCTATGCAGCTCAGACCCCTCTCTGCAAAACTCCCCGCTCTCAGAATCTTCCAGTTTGTATCTGTTGTCTTGCTGATGGGAACTGTTCCTCAGGTGCTGAGAGATTAACTTTCCCATATCCAAATATTCTGTTTTTAAAGGTGCTGGTAGGTTATGGATAACTACGTGGTCCTTCCACCGAAACTGAGGGTTGTCTAATCTCTTTTGTTGGCTTCTCCTCTGCTGTTCCATGTTATTCCCACAGCTCCAAGAGGTACATTCTCTATCACACTGACTGTCACTGAGAAACTTGCCCCCAGCACCAGGCTGTTGCTCTACACGGTGCATCCGGATGGGGAGATAGTGGCCGACAGCTCTTGGATACGCAGCGATGTATGCTTCAAAAATAAGGTGAAAACCTTTGCTTTCTTATTAAGGGCTATATCAGCTGGTTCTTTGCTGAGGGAAATGTTAGAGAATCACTTCATCAAGAGCACAGCATTTGGGATGGCCTTCAGGAATGGAGAAGGTACAGATGTGCCTGGGAACATGAGGAGCTGTCCCTGGAATTGACACCTTTGCTCAGACTCAGACTAAGCTCCCAGTGGAGTGTGGAGAGGGATGTGACTGGGGGATTATAGTGGTTGCGGATTTTCACAGAAGAGGGGTTCAGAAGGGACATCTACCCTTGGGAGCTTTGCCCCAAGGAGAATAGAGTGAATGATGGTGACAGGTGAGATTTAGATCTATGTGCCAAGCTAATCCTAATTTCTGTGTGGTTGTCTTGGATTTATTCATTTCCAGGTCCAACTCGAGTTCTCTGAGAAGCAGGGTCTCCCGGGCTCTAAAGTCGGTCTCCACCTTGAAGCTGCTGCCAACTCCTACTGTGCCCTGCGAGCTGTAGATCAGAGTGTCCTTCTTCTTCAGCCTGAGCAAGAGTTATCTGCTGAGACAGTAAGCCCCAGCCCCAGTCCCATGTTCGTTTGACCTAGGGACATCCAGAATGACATTCCGATTCCCACCTGTGATCTCTTTGCTGCTGGCTGTGTTTTTATTTTTCACTTGGAAACAGACATCTCAGTGATTAAGAAAGGTCTATGCCAGTTGTACACTTCAAAGCCAGAAACTGTTAGTGGAACATTTACTGTTGGAAAACATGGCAGTATAAGACATGTCCTAAGAACATGCCTAATGTAAATCCTTGAAAGTATAGTTCTTCCCTGGGGACTGATTATGTCAAAATTGCATTTTATGACTCAAATAGGCCTTGGGCCCAGAACAAAAGCTTCAGATGTCAGATAGTGGGACTCCAGCCTTCTCTCTGCATGACTGAAGAGTATATATCTCCATGCTTTTTGTTCAAGTTCACCCCCCAAAGCCATTGCAGCTCAGAAGGAGGGGGGTCCAATCTTTCTTGTGTATCACCAGCCGAATTGCTTATTCATCTCTAGATAGGCATCACTAGGCAAACATCCCACAGTCTATGGGATTGCTCAGGGGCCACCATAAGCTTTGAATATATGTGATTTTGCACCTGCCTGGGACCTTCCTTGAGTTTACAGTAATCGTTCTCACCTCCCAGGTGTACTACCATCTTCGTGTGAGTGATTTATATAGCTATTACTACAACGGGCTCAACCTGGAAGATGACAAGCGAGAGTTATGTACCCCAGTCAAAACCATCTTTTCTAACGGCTTGTACTATGAACCTGTGAATGTCAGTCGTGATGGTGACGTCTACGGAATTTTCAGGGTATGTGCTCTGTGCGGTTCTTTAAGTGGGAGGTATTCCAGAAGAATTCATGCACATTCACATTAAACTTTAGCCGGTAGTGGTTCTTACTGCTAAGAGAAGTCAGCTGATGCCTGGGACTACCTAAAGTCTCCTGCTGGCCAGTTTCTGGCTTCTTATGCCCACCTCTTATGCAAGAAGACCGAGAATCACTGTTAGATGTATTTGCTGGGACCCTGCTCAGATTTCAGTAGACATTTCCTAAGCAGGACCATGGCCTTGGCTCATGACCTCAGGCATTTCTAGCTAAAGATCTGAGTCCATGTCACGGGCCACCTGGTTCCTCGTACACTTGCCTCCAGTCCCTCTGGTCCCACGGCCTGAGCTCTAACGTAAGCCCCACCATTACTGCTGTTCACCGAAAGCCCCACCATTACTGCGGTTCACCGAACATCAGGTGTCACTGATCCACAAGAAAGAAACGGAGACTGGAAAGGAAGAGTTGTGTTGTGACATTCAGGGTTGAAAGGGTGGGATGTGAGGAGTGAGGAGAGAGATGAGGTATGATTACCACGTGGAAGAAGTGGCATGCACTGGTAGCTAGTGCATGCCCTGAGTGACATGATTGATTCTTTCACATTCAGGATATGGGCCTGAAGGTGTTCACCAATTCTGTGCTACGGAAGCCAGTTCTGTGCAATGAAGACAGATCAATCGTGGAAGATTACCCTGCCTATTTTGGCGATGGTCACAGGCACTTCCTAACCTCTGCCGTAGGTAAAAGAAGGCTCATACTGTGTCTCCAGTCCCAGTCTACCTGGTCTTCAAAACTGTTGCCTGTATAAAATAACAGCTAGCATGTCAGGTTTTTGGGGGGAGCAGGTCTATGTGTCCCAGTTTGCCTTTAGTCATCTCTTTCTGACAGTCCTTGCAGTAGAGTCAATTCTCACACTTGGGTACTTGTATGTACAGGGTACATAGAGAAAAGACAGGGAATACTGGTATGCTACTTCTTTCATGAACTGATGTTAGTTTTACATGGCTTTTCGGGTCAGAACCTTTCATCAAATCACAATTCAATTGCACATTTGAAAGGAAATGTCAATGCAGTAAAATAATGGCAATCCCCAATGTTAAGAATTCACACAGCATTTAGAATACTTTGCACGTAGTCTCCAAAGCACTTTATAGATCAGCAAGAGTTATGATTATCTTTCTCCAAGTCAGATTGCTCAGCAAAAGAGCAAAAGTAACAGTCGTATGTTGCCACAAGGCAAATTGCTATTCAACACTAGAAAAAGGTTCTTCCCCATGAGAGTTGTGCTACAGTGGAGGAGGTTCTCCAGGAGGTTTTGGAATCTCTGTCACTGCAGATTATCAAAAATGAGCTAGACAAGACCTTTGAGCAACATGATCTGACTTTTAAGTTAGTCCTACTTCAAGGAGACTGGACTGGGGAACTCCAGAGATTCCTCCCAACCTAGAATTTTTCAAAGATTCTGTGATTCTAAGTCCAGCAAAATAAGGAAATATTGTTATTTCCATGATATGGCTAGGAAGTCTGAGGTACCTCCATGCTAAACGAGTTGTTGGACGTCCTAAGTGAGTGCATGGCAAAACTGGAAAGAGGACCTTGGTTCCTAATGTCGAACTTGCAGCCTGACTATGTCAACCAAAGTAGTTTTCCAGTGGACTGGATATACAGCTCCAGTTTTAACTACTGAACAGGGTAAAAATGATTGCATTCTCAGGGAGGTTTGTAGAGCATTATAAGCTTTGGTGACAATACTTGCTACTGTTGCCCATTTGCGAATCAAAGAGAGCTAGTGATAGAGGATGGGGAACATGCCTTTCTAACTGGATGATGAGACCTTTCAACATGAAATGAAGTGAAATGTCTTGTGAAACAGGTAAATTTTGTAGTATTTTCCTATGGGAAAAGAGTATAGATAAGAAAATTTTTCTTCCCATTCCCTATATCAGTTAGCATTTTCCTTTTTTACGAGAAAAAGAATGGAAAAATTCTCAAACGGAACACTTAGTGTTCATTTATGGTGCTGAGCATGTCTGACGGCTGTTCAGATTCTTCTGGTCTGACCTCTCTAACACTATATTTTCACCATACACTACCTTCTAGATGAGGCAAGGATAATTGGTGGGAGTGTTGTTAACACTGTTCGGAAATTCTTCCCCGAGACCTGGATTTGGGATCTGGTTCATACTGAGTGAGTATTTTTATTTTCACTTCTTACCTATTGTGTAGATTTCTGAGTTGATGCAAGTTGCTGAAATGGATTCTAGGAAGAAGCCATGGAACATATGTCTGCTTTGTAGTTGCGGATCTCCTTTTCCCATCGCGCCTCAAAATTGTTCAGAGTGTCAAACCTATTTGAACTGTGAATGACATCTGCTGTGTGCTCTGTCCCCTATCTGCTCTGTGTTCTGTCCCTCATCAGTCTGACGGGGAGAAAGAATAAAGGCTACAAGTAAAATAAGAGCATTTGTTTAGGAGGGAGAAGGAGAAAAACTTGTTGGTTTTCATCATATTTTTAATTCAGCATCAGAAATCTCAGGTTATTTTGATTTTCTTTCCAGGCTACCATAGCATCTGCAATGATAATATCTCCATCTTAACTACACATCCATGGGCTTTTCTACAACATTAATCCAAATGTATTGGTTCTAATCTGTATGTTTGGGCATTATGGTATTTAAACAAATAGTATTTCTAAACTAAAAAAGCTGAGTATTCTTCCAAGTGCTTTTTAACATGTAGTTTACCAGCACCTTCATATTTACTTTATAATATTTTTTAAATACGGAGAGGTATCTTGCAGAAAGTGAGGTGAAGACAGAATTACTAACTCAAGCAGGGAACCTGTTCTATAATTTGGCTTGAAAATGCCAAAGATCATATCTCATTCTGTTTTTTTTACTTTTCTCAGTTCCAGAGGAAAGGTCAATGCCTTTTACACTATTCCTGACACCATCACAGAATGGAAAGCCAGCGCTTTCTGCATGCAGGATGATGCTGGGTTCGGCATCTCCTCACCTGTTTCACTGACAGCATTCCAACCATTCTTTGTGTCTCTCACCTTGCCATACTCTGTCATTCGAGGGGAAAAATTTAATTTAATAGCCAACGTCTTCAACTACCTCAACAAATGCATCCAGGTACATCAAGTTCCTTTTTACTTCCTATATGGTTTGTCTGATTCCCAGAGATCCCAGTATTCCCTTGCATAAGGCATCAGAAATGCAGAAATAAGTGTTTAACTTCTGCTTTAGCCTAACACATTACTCTCTCACCGTCTCTCCCTGGACCCTTCCCTGTGTCCTAACACTAGGAAAATGTGGCTGATGACCACTGTGGCTGGTCCACAGAAGATAAGAACCTGCTGCTTATCCCTACATAATTTTGGCTCATGAAGGAGGAATTTGAGCAGTACTGTGCTGTGCAAAACACAATGCATACTGAGTACGCTGGATGTAGCAGTAAAATGTAAGAAGACTTGACTAATGAACACAGACACTTTGGTATACTGTTGTCAAAAACAGACACTACCAGTGGGCAGAAAAGAGACAGTTTTTCCACTTCCACAGAGAAATGTCCCATGCTTCTGTCCTGGTACCATTCCACAGATTCAGATGACAAATAGCTTCTCCAGCAAGTCTCCCTTGCTCTGCAGCCTAGCTTTGGGGCAGACTGCTTCATTCGTAATCTTGCTGCTTCTTTCTTTGTCTCAGATCAGTGCTGTACTGGCAAAGTCGAGTGACTACAAGGCAGAAATCCTTTCACCAGAGGGCAACACAGCAAGGGTGTGTGCCAATGAAAGAAAAACCTATATTTGGGCTGTTAGCCTCCACAAACTTGGTAAGTTTGTCTTTTCATCACCTCAATATAACCCTGTTTGATCTTCCTGTCTCTGTCACTCCCACCCTTTAACACAGCATCAATAATCCACGAGCAGGCATTTCTGGTCAGCTCCATTGATTGCTCCACAAATTTAATGTTGGACCTCTGCTAAAGTTCCCTTAGATGCACTGAATGAGCAGTGAATTGTTGTGGTGTTTTATCTCTTCTGATTTTCGGTAGTCCATTTCCTGCCAATTTTAGGAAGAACTCTTTGCTTGCTGTGTTATGTATGAAATGCTAGCAGGATTTCATGTGCCTATGATCTTTCATCTGAGAGTTTTGCACCTAACCAACTGTATTCAATAAGAATAAAATTTGCTAATAATTTTGGACTGGGTCCTCAACATGTAAAGAGGACATTGCTTCTCCTCAATTTTACAGCTCTGTTAATTCACAATGCCTTCAAGTCAACCTTGTCTGTTAAAAAAAGCGGTTACAACAACTTGCATGTGTAAATGCCCCAAAAGCCGAAGTACAAAAAAATTTTAATTAGCAAAGATTCTTCTCAAAATGAACCACAGATGGACCTTTTCTTTAAAACGTTGTTTCTAAAACACTATAGTCAATATGATTGATTTCCTTCAAACTCACTGATAAAGTTGCAAAGATATAGTGAGATGAAAACTGGATATGCAGTGAAATAATATGGCAGAGCTGAAAAAATAGAAAACTGCTCTCTCTCCCTGGTAAATCTGATGATAATGCATTTTGTTCCAGGTAAAAAAACTCCTTTGGATTTCCAGTTTGCAATGCTTGCAGGGGGGAAGTGAGTAACACCTGCAAAGCTACTTGCTTCAGGGTTGCTCCTCAGCATTGTCCCTCAGTTAGCAAATTCCATCTGAAGGAAAGAGGCGGCAGATCTATAACTACTGCAACACTGCCTTAGGCCAGCAAAAACTCAGCACAAGGCTAAGAATAGGTAGAAACTGGTAGTGAGTACTGTCAGTTGTTTGGCCCAGATCACCCCTATTTCATTCCTCATGCTAGGGCCCCAGGCAACCACTCCTTGCCACTAGCAGAGAGATGTGGAGCCTTCTTGAAATTTGTTCCTGCTAAAAAATTGTTTCCTGCTGAGCTGCCTTCAAAGAGAATACATTTCTCAGCAGTCCATCAGCCTAGAAAAGGTAGTGAAAACCAGGGGTAACTGTAGACGTTGAAGATAACTGTCTTTTCTTGGGCTGATGGGTGGCTTTCCAGGAGAGGTGAAATTCACAATCACTGCTGAGGCCAAACTGAATGCCGGAGGTACTGGAAACAGCATAGCCTCAGAAGAGGAGACAATTCGCAGGGACACCCTGATTCAAACCCTACTCGTTGAGGTACAGTAGGAAATCTGCATGTGCTTTCGGCTTTGTGGAAACTGCAATTCCTGTAGCTGTTGGTTAGAAGCAGTTAGCTAGTGTGAGAAGGCAAGATAGCTGACACAGATGGAGCTGTGTATAGAAGGCTTCTCCATGGGAAAATGAGAGTGTAAATCACAGTGATCTGTGGCATCCACTGTCCTGTCACTGTCTCCTTCCTGGGACCATGAGCATACACACCCTGACACTCCATGGATGTCAGTAGAGATGTAGCCAGAAGGGAGGAGATTCCATACCTCACACATAAGTGCCTTTAGCCTGGGGCTCTAATACTGGGGAGTTGGGTTGAGGGCAGATATAAAATGAAAAGGGATTTATCTTGAGCATCATAAAGCAGCAGCCACATAAGCTTAGTTGGACAGAGTCTGTCTCAGAGGCTGGAAATGTCTGTTTTATAACTAATTTCTAAGCAGGAAGGTGCTCTGGACAGGGTGTTGGGTAAAAGAGGAAGGGAGCCATGGACCAAGAGATATTCTAGTGGAGACAGGGCAGAAATGGGCACAAGGGGTGTTTTGTCTGTATAGCCACATCCACATACTGTTTTACACCATTAACTTGTTCACATTTCATGATGATGTTCTACACTTTTCTTCCTCTTCCTGACCACTTCCCTGCAATCCAACAGCCTGAAGGTGTTAAAAAAGAATTTACTCAGAGCTCTCTCATCTGCACGAAAGGTAAGGCAAGTTTATTCATTCTTTCCAGGGAGATAGGGGACCTTCTTCACTATTTTGTAGGTTTTGTCCTACAAAACCAGAGACCCTTCCAGGGCAGGAAAGAGGGTCTCAGAGTCAAGGTGCTAGGCTACAATTCAGTATTTTCAGAGATATCTTTGACTCATTGGGCAATTCTCTGCAGCAGTTTCATTACTCAGACTGCAGATCCTAACAGTCACTGTAGTAATGCTCACAAAGTGAAGACTTCTGGAAAAAAGAAGATTTTAACAATACCTGTTGTCACATTTTCTCATCAGGCACAAAGATTTCTGAACCAGTCTCTCTCAGCCTGCCAAGAAACATGGTGCAGGGATCAGCCAGAGCTTATTTTTCTGTCATTGGTAAGTTTAGCACTTAGATTAAAAACAAAAGTAAATGGCATTCCTCTTGTGCTGCACCAAGTATCACCATGTATACATACACACTCCTAATGTAAAGTTGAGGAGATAATATTGAGTTTAGAGAAAATGTTTCTTACTTTGCAAAATGGCAATGAAAGACAAAGAGGACAAAATAGTCAAATTATTTCGACTTGTATTGCATTTCAGATTATACTGAATTAGTATATCCTGTTCTGTATAGTACAACAGTTAATTCAGCTGAAAAGTAAGATAAAAGATTGAAAACAATTATTCTGATTTCTTGGAAAGAAGACTTCAGAACTTTTCTGACTGTATAATTTCAAATTTATGCTTCTGTTTACTGAAAAACGTTTGTCAGTTTATAAGTTTCCATAGAAAAAGACTTTCAGGTCCAAATCAACTCTACTAATCCTAAAGTCATTCTCGAGACTGACAGTTCTCTTCAGTGAAATTTTTTTGAGGTGCTGAACTCAAATTGCTTTCTAAACACAATTGTTTTGCATGCCTGGGTCAGCGTGAGGTGTGCTGATGCTGTGCAATGCAGGCTCTGTAACCCATCAGCACGATACCCCACATCTTGTTCTCACATGTGCACCCAAAACTGGAAGCAGGTTGTAGAAGGCAGGGAAACCTAACCCTTCTAAGGGTAGCACAGCTGTTTCTCAGAACCCCTGCCAGCCAACATTGGTGCTCAGTGTTTTCTCAAATTCTCAGTTTCTCTCAGGTGTCCAGTGTCAAAATGAAAAATAAAAATAAGAATAAAAATGTGGACATTTCAGCCTTTCTTCTAGGTTGTTCCTTTGGTTACTGTGATTACTCTATATTGGTCATTGCCCTTGGGTTCATAATAAGGTAATATAAAGCAGCGTATGATGCTGTGTAACAAAAGCATTTTAAATAAAACTGACTCCTTATATCTTTCATTCTCCAGGAGACATTTTGGGTACAGCCCTGAGGAACATGGAGAATCTCCTCCACATGCCTTATGGCTGTGGAGAACAGAATATGGCCTTGTTCACACCGAACATCTATGCCCTGGATTATCTGAATAAGACTGGGCAGCTAACTGAAGAGATTAGACTCAGGGGTACTTGGTATTTATCCAGAGGTGAGATGCTTTCATATTCTTCCATCTAATATTGTGATTGTGTGCACTGAATTCTGAAGCCCTACACAGTGAAGATCTCTGATTTCTAGCACCACATTTATTGCATAGGAGCAGGCGAAGATAGCACTACAAAGAAGCATGTCATACTTCCAGGAGCAAAAGCAGCTAGACTTCATAGTGGCTGGCATTATTCACCAAACATATGTTACTCAAATCAAATCCCAAAGTCTTATTGCTTCAGTTGAATGAACAGCAGAACTAGTCCTTTTCTGTGATTAGAAAATATGTCGTCTTTATTGTGTTTTCAGGGTACCAAAAACAGTTATCATACAAACACCAGGATGGATCCTACAGCTCATTTGGGACAAGAGATAACCAAGGGAGTGTCTGGTAAGTGATGACACTTTCTATTTCCCTAGTGCAGGATTTTTAGGCTTTGAAAAATGATCAAAGTATTAAGCAATTCTTATTTTTAATAGACTAAATGGACATAACTCGATTAATTTGCATAATCTGGTAAATGAGAATAACTGGAAAGAATGCAGCAAAAGGATGATAAGATGATCGGGGGCTGGAGTACAGAAGGTTCAAGGGGAGGCTGAAGGAACTGTGTTTGTTCAGTCTGTAGAAGAGGAGGCTAATGGGGAACCTAGGTAAAGGTTTCCACTACCTAGACAGGGACTGTAGAAAAGACAGAATCCGACCCTTGTCACGGGTACACACAGTAAAGACAAAAGTTTGTCCTTACTTAAGTTGCAACAGGGAAAACTCCAACTCAGTAGAAGGGAAAATAAATCTTCCCCAGGTGAAGGCTGCTACACTGAAACAAATGCCCAGAGAGGATGCAGGTATCTCTATCCATGGAGATTTTCACAACATGATCGAACAAGACACTGAGCAACCTGACTGAGCTTTGAAGTTGGCCCTAGTTTAAGCAGGTGGTTGGACTGGAGACTTCCAGAGGTCCCTTCCCACCTAGGTTAGTTCATAATTCTAATAATTAAGATTAGAAATTACTATCATCAGTCACCAAGCTGTGTCTTTATTTCATCCCTGCTCTGAAAGAATGGTGTCAGCACAGTAATGGAGAAACCTCAGGCCAGTTTTTAATATCAGGGTTTTAACCATCTTATTTATTTAAAACTTACAAAACACTTGTTTCTTTTACCTCAGACACTATGGAGCTCACTTTATGCCATTTTCTATGCATATGCAGTTGCTGGTAAACCTTCTTGGTTTTGTTCATACCTTTACCTGTTTTCTGTGGTCTGGTTCACCTGCAGGCTCACTGCCTTCGTGTACAAGTCCTTTGCACAAGCCAAACGCTACGTCTACATTGACGACAATGTCCTGTCTCAAGCTCTGATTTGGCTGGCAAGCAAGCAGAAGTCAGACGGCTGCTTTGAAAGTGCTGGGTCACATTTCAACAGTGCTTTGAAGGTAACCAAGACAAGTATAGTCCCAGACTTCCAGTTCTGGCATTGAGACTGATTTGGATCGTTTCTGCCAGACACAAGCTTATCACCATAACCTTACTCTTCCTAGTACTGTTCTCTCCTGTCTCTCATACACAAGCAGGGCATGATTCTTATGTCTGATACTGATGATGAGGTAGAAACAAGTATAACTTTCAGAGTCAGAAATCTCAGGTTTTAATTTCCATCACTGCATTATGTGTTCACCCACAGGCTATAATGTGCTTTATTGCATATGTGCAGAAGCCAAGAAAACACGTGAAATAATTTTGGCTTTATCCTGAGTGAACTTGATCTTTCTTGTTCCTATGCACACAAGGAGACAGAAATTACTTGTGATCTCAAATCTAACTGATCTCTGAACTATGCATTAATTCATATTTTGTTTCTTTCTGGGACATCTGTATTCAAATGCTCTTTGCTTGTGTTTTCTTCAGGGTGGAGAAGAAGGTGAATACTCACTCACAGCCTATGTTGTGGCAGCGTTGCTGGAGGCTGGACACTCTGCTGCGGTAGGTATTTGATGCTGTTATGGTCTATTAGTCTGGTCAGCCATTTCTCATACAGTGCACAAGTCCTCACATCTGTATTCTTTAACAATGTGGTAAATACTGATTGTAGGACAGTACGGTCAGCTAAGGATATCTGTTTCCAGAACCCTGCAGTTGCTATAAGTATTTGACGAGTGTTACAAATCAGTTGTGTATCCAGTTTCTATGGATTAATTTGAAAAATCCCTGAGGAATCCAGTTGTGTTAAACAATGGCGGTCTACGTAGGTGCAAAATCCAGACTGAATTTTCAACTCCACCCAGTTTGGAATTTTCTCTGAATTTGCCCACTCCAAAGTCCAAGCTATCCAATTCTTCAGTCCTACAGACTCTCTCTGTGCATTTAGATCCAAGCTGTGTTTCCATTTCCTTATGCCACTCTTAATAACAGAAGGAAATAATGAGCTGGTGGTGGGAATACTTGCTAGGCATGGGGGAATGACAGCCAAGTTCTGTTCTCTGTAATACACTTCCTGCTTATCCTTGAGACCTTGGATTTTTGCTGGTTTTTTGTTCTTTGTAAAATGGGGAAGATGAGAATTGTTCCCAATCCGACAAGTATGTTCTAGGCATGTCGAGTTTTGCAGGTCCCTCAGATACTGTGGTGTGGTGCACCATTTAAGTATCTGAGACTGGCAGGATAAAGACATTGTGCAGAATCAAATAGTTCTTCAGCAACATGAATTTAGTTCCCAATATCTTCATAAGAAGCTCCAAAACCTGGTGCTACATCTGTAAGTGAAGCTGCATAGACAGGACATGGTTAGTAGTGTGCTGGTGATGTCTGAGCTGAAGTAGAGCTCACAGAGGTAGTCTGTAAGGCTAAAAGGGCTGAAGAGTTATCTTAATAGCTTTAGCTAGCAAATGAGTAATAACATTCATCTGAGAGAGCCTGCTTCATCATGAGGTCTCAATATACTTTACGTAATTCTCTAAAATGATCCACATTTTAGAGCTAAAGCAACCAAGGGACAAAGGATTCACCTGCATAAAGTCATCTCACAAGTCAGGAAAAGAACCAATGCTCTGTTAGTCCAGCCATGCTGTCTCTAAACAAATGCAGAAAGAAGGCAGCACCACTGGAAGGGCATTTTTTACAAGATACACACTGTAGGCCCTTATATATGCCATGGATCATGTGTATTTTTAGCCTGGAGGGTCAGCGATGGCTATGATGGAAGTATTTAAAGAGAAGCTGAGACACAAATCCATGTACCTGATAACCCTACTCTGTTTTGCATTACCAGCATCCTGTCATTCAGAGTGGCATGAACTGTTTGGAGACTGCATTTGGCAATGGGGTCCACAACCTGTATACCCAGGCTCTCTTTGCCTATACTTATGGCTTAGCTGACAAAGAGGAAAGATGCCAATTCTTCCTTGAGAAGCTGAACAAGACAGCTACCAGTGATGGTAAGTGCAGCACGGCCATGATACAGGCAATACAGCTGATGGAATGGCCTGTGGTATGATGTAAGCTATTCTGATGTATAGTTTTTTCATTCATGCTGCTCCCTTTCCATTTTCTGCCTGCTATACTACTGAATTTATCTCTATGAACTTCTCTGTCTGTCTCTTTTGGCTTCACAAAATATTGAGCCATGGCCCGATTTTCTTAGAATTACGAAATAATGTAGGTGGGGAGATACCTCTGGAAATCTCAGTCCAAGTTATTTGAAGATTGTACCTAGTTTCCCCATTACTCTCCTCCTGTACACACTGAACAAACCCAGTTCTCTCGACTATGTCATGTGCTCCAGTCCACAACTGCCTTAGCATCCTTCTGCCACACTGCCTTCACTTCAACCCCTCTTCAACTTATACAGCCCCCTTTTCTTAATTCCCTTTCCATCCCTTCCTCTTCTCTTTCCCATCCTGGAACTAAAGCTTATCCAGTTCATGACACTGATGGCTGAAGAAACTTTTGGGTAAAGGCAGAGAGGGAATTGTATGCCTGTCTCCCACATGATGCTGTAGTGAATTAGCCAGCAAGTAATTGTTCCATGCTTTTTACACCCCACTTTTCTTTTTTTCAGGTGGTACTGTTCATTGGCAGAGAGAAAATAAGCCACCAGCAGAAGATTTCCCTGTCTTCTATGCCCGTTCCCCTTCTGCTGAGATTGAAATGACCAGTTATGTGCTCCTGGCTTGGCTCAACAAAGCCAAACTCAGTCCAGAAATCTTATCTTACATTTCTCGCATTGTGCGCTGGCTTGTCAAACAGCAGAACCCATACGGCGGTTTCTCCTCCAGCCAGGTAACAACTGGGTGTGGTAAAAACAAAGCTTCTGGGAGCAGTCCAGCCTGCAAGCTAGATCTCACTAGTATGACATATCTTCATGACTGCGTATTCGTTTGAATAATCTTTGATAAATGGTGCTCACAAAAGTCTCATTGTCAGGGCACATTGTGCTCTTCATAGGTAGCTTCATACATTTCAGTTTTAGGAAATGGGAATTTACCCAAGTTTCAGGTTAGCAGTAGGCAGCGGTCACTGTTGAGACAGCATTATCCCAGGTTTTCTGGGATGATTCCAACCTATTGTCCCAGCACTTGTATCTTGCCCCCTTAGCTCTTTGCAAAGTCACCCTCCATTTCTGACAAAGTATCAGGGAAATAGGAGCTGTGCTAATATCGTGCACCATCTTACAGCTGGGTCTCTATCTACTTACGGATCGTGTTGTTCTTTTCAGGACACTGTTGTTGCTGTCCAAGCTTTAGCCCAGTATGGATATCTCACCTTCTCTAAAGAAATTCTTAACACAGTCAAAGTCAACTTCATGGAGCATCCCACTGAGACTTTCCAGGTGGATGACAAGAATCGCTTCTTACTACAGCAGGCTTCCTTACCCACTATTCCAGGGAATTACAGCATGGAAGTCAGTGGCACTGGCTGTGTCTATCTGCAGGTAAGCAAGCTGGAAACTCAGTGTCACCCCTTTGAGAACTAAGCTAGGGGTTCTACATACCTCATGCCAAAGCCACGGAAGTCTGTAAGTTTGTGACCATCTCACACTTCCCATCTCTTTTAGACCACCCTGAGATACAACATCCATTTGCCAAATAAAGTTGCAGGATTTTCTCTCTCTGTAAGGCCGGCCAATGTATCCTGTACAAGTAACTTCCCACCAAAATTTGACCTTGTCCTCTCTGCCAGGTAACTTCCTCTTATTGACCTACCCCCTTGCATGCATAGTTTGGTAAAGCATCCAAGGAAGGATTTAAGCACAGGCAGTTAACTGCTACTGTGCAGCTACGGGAAGACAAACAGCATCTTTGGGAACTGAAAATGTCATTCACTGGTCTCCTCTCCATCTGCAGACCAGACTAATTGAACTTTTCTCACTTTAGTTACACAGGGAACCGCGGAGTCTCCAACATGGCTATTATTGATGTGAAGATGCTCTCAGGTTTTGTTCCTGTAAGATCTTCCCTGAACAAGGTAAAGAATAGGAGCAAAGTGAATGGTAAACCCTGAAAACAAAGGAAGCTGATAAAAACAGTCTCTGACTAGCAAATTAGCGCCCCAGGGGAATTCTGCACACTCCCTGGGCATAGCCTATCACATACCCTGTGTCGCAGACTTGTAGCTGTTCATCTGTTGAAGACAAATCTGATAGGATTTGCCAAATCCAGTAGCCCAACTGTGGTGAGACTGCTGCAGCTTCATATCCCCAGGTCCAGCCAAAAACATGGCTAAGTGTGTATTCCCAATAGGCAGACATGGACACTACACATGTACATACATATACACATATTTAGACGTATACACATATACACACCTGGACACACAGATCAACAGAGCCAGAAAAGACAGCACTCACACAAACACCAATGGCACAAATAGCCTTATCCTGTTCCCCTGATCAGACTGAAAGCTCATTTTTGGAAAAGATAAAGAAGTATATATTTATATATGTATACACACACACACATACACATGCAGATGCAGAAAGTGGATCCCTTTGGTAGCTGACCTCAGACACTCTGTCTGCCCAGTAGCTGCCCCTGGATCCTTCTCCTGCACAGTCGCTGGCACCTGGACACACGTGCCCTTGAGGCACAGCCTCACCCCAGCAGCTGGAACTGAGCCCCCTGGCACCCACACGTACGCATGGTGGGCAGCTCCAGTAACCAGCTTTCGGCATGCAGTCTCTGCAGCAGCCCATCTTGGATCCCCTGGTCTCCCAGTTGCCTCGCACAGACACATACACAGGCACACACAGAAACACACGCAAAGGAGTCCCCGCTAACTGGTCCAGCCCAATGGCCCGGCCAGTATCTGCCCCCGAGAATTTATGGTCTCTACAGTAACAGGCTCAGACCTCCTGGTCCCTCCTGTAGGCAACTCAGATCCTTAGGTATCTTCAATATATGGCCCAGACTTGTGCCTGCTTCAGTAGGTGGCTGCCAAACCGCTGAACTCACTCACCCACTAGTCCAACTTTATATTCACTAGCGACCACCCACTGTCACACACAGCCACACGCAACAGGCCTGAAGTCTGGTGTCTCGAGGTGCTGGCACGCCAGACACATGGCCCCTGTGACTGTGGTCCCCTCTTCAGTGGCTTGCACTCCATACACACAGGTGCATATAAAATAGAAAGCCCCTCACCCAGGAAAATAATTGGGAACAGAGTTTAATAGGAAGAGAGGCAAGATTGTGGTGACCAAGAGCAGCGCATGGCCAAACAAGCGTACTGACCAGCAATCTGTTTACGTGCAACTGGCCCTGTTTATCCCACTTTCCCACTGTCTTCTCCCATTTTCCCACCCTTTTTCCTCCCAGTCAGACTTTACCCCTCCCTTTGTTACTTCTGGTTCTTCCCCTAAACACCCTGTTTCTCGAGTCCCAGCATCCCATACTCAGCCCCGAGCCCCTGTCGTCAGCGTTCCCCTTCAGTCAGTAAGTTGAGCCAGGGATACTCTGCTGTGTACTGACCTGGTGAGTCTCCCTCCCAGACAGCAGGGCTGGTCACTGCACAGTGGCAGCCCCATGGGGGAGCCAGGTCAGGGTGCCCTGGTGGCTCTGCTCAGGTTATGGAGGTTTCCCTGGCTGCCCTTGTTCCTCTGTGCTCCTTAGTGTTTGTGGGGATGAGCCTTTAATCGCACAATCAAACAGAATCTATGTAAGAAATACTTCTGCCATAGTCAAATTCCTCAAATTGGCATTTTGCAACATTATCCATTTGACATGATTATTCCTTCCTCTACAGCACAGTTTAACAAAGAAAAAGTGGGTACTGCTGTTCCTTTATTATCCAGAAATTTGGTCACAGTGATGACAATTCTGTGGAGAGCATCAATAAGAACTTCGTTTCTGTTCCTAGTGTAATTTAGGTTCTGCAACAGATGCATTATCTTCAAGCTATGAGCCTAAATCTTCAAGTAGATAAAAAGAAGGACGCAATTTTTTGTAGAGTCTGCTCACAGCTAGGTGCATTTATAACCATTTAGCATTCAGGTTTCAGTATCTTTTCTGACTAGAACTGTACAAAACTTGTGACTTTGGAGGATTTTTCCATTGAGATGCTACCTGTTTGGGAATCCTACTCCTCTTTATACATACTTTATATATACTTCATGTACTTATATGTACTTTATATGTACTCCTCTTTATATGTATGGGAAAAATAGCTGGTTTTTAACATTTGGAATATTTTTCATGTATTTTTATAGTAAAATAATTTTGCTTCTGTGCTTTTCTAAAATTTTTTTAAACTTTTGGGCTTTTTAAATATACAATGCACAAGAAAGTGAGTCAGCTTAAGCTGCAGAAATGATCGTGTAATTGTGAATTCTCATTGAAATGAGAGCACTCTTACGTGACTGATAAAAGTCACACATAGCAAAGCTAACTGATAAAACTATTTTTCATTGTGATTGGTTTGCACTTGACATGTTATGAAAATACTCAACTTGCACTTCTTATTTTGGCCATGAGATATCAGTGTAGCACAACAGAAGCATGGCAGCCACTTTAAACAGATTTTGCTATAGAATAGTTATTTGTAAGTCTCCTTGGCAAGTCTCCTATGTTAACATTGTTATCATTTGCCTCATTTAAAGCTTCAGCACCGGGATTCTGTTGTGGATCGTGTAGACATCAAGAATGATCACATCCTCTTCTACCTTCAGAAGGTAAGTTTGGGAGATTTCTTTTTGGTTTTACTAAATTGGAAGTTTAAAACAGATAAAAGAATAGTCTCATTAATAGCAGATTAGCTGTATGTATATCTTAAAGGTGTAAAGAGACTTCACTCAGTCCAACATCAAATATATCTACACAGCAGTTGTAGTCTACAATGAAGAGATGTTTTTGTATTACTTTTTGTGAAGAATGCTGTAGGATTAAATAGCATTTCACAAACATAGCTAAGTTGCATTCCATATTGTAAAAGTTCCCAGTCCACATAATATTCTTCAGCCTCTAAGCGATGCTTCTCACCAGTTGATCTGAGAGTATTTTACAAGCAGTCAGTGTCATCCTGTCCCTTTTAGAGAGATTTCTGTATGAAAAGAATAGCCCTCCCACATCAATGACATTAATGAGAGAGGAGATAGATGAAAACCAATACACAAGGGATCTTAAAATACCAGGAAAGGAAGGACAGAGGAAGTAAAAATAAATAGTAGTAATATCTACCTCTCAAACACTAATTTCTATTAGTTGGTCTCCAAGGAACTAATAAGGAAGATTGGAGTCAGTATTCTGAACTCACAGAGAAGCTGAGGTGTTGAGATATGAAAAGTTTACCCAGCAGGGCATCACTGATGCAGAGCGTTCTCAAGAGCCCCTGTCCATAGCTCCATTCCTATAAAGAAATCAGCAAGATAAAAACAAGGACAAAGGGAGAAGAGAGCAGGGGCACAGTCCCAGGCACACTGGAGAAATCTTGAAGCTGAGGAAGATGAGCAAGGAGGAAAGGTTGACACATCCGGCTGCAAGAGTGTGGAATGAGGAACAGAACCACAGGGGAGGATGGGGATTTTGAGTTCAGTGTGATTAAAGAGAGAAAAGAGGGGAGGAGATTCATAGGGATGCTGGAGGTGATTTTAGCTGGGAAAAGGCAAGGAAGGAAACTAACAGTGACTTTCAGTGAGAAGATGAATGCTGATATGCCGAAAGCCACAGTAACCCGGGAATGGCAGGGGTAATTGGCAATGGAAATATGAAGAGGAAGAAAGTGAAAAGCACGCAATTTTAGCAAAAGCTTTTAAACAATTGTCTGATTTGACATCAAGTTTATAGTCTGAAGAGAATTGTAGAATGGCACTTTGTCACCCAGTTTAATCCAGAAATGTATCTGTTCAACCTTAGCCTCAGCAACAGGTATGAAAAGAAAGTCTGATGCATTTTCTTGTCTTGCCATTTCCAGGTCTCCCAGAAGGAAATCAGCTTCTCCTTCAGTGTGGAGCAAAGCCTGCCTATCTTAGATATCAAACCAGTGCCAGTACATATGTACGATTACTACGAAACAGGTAGGTGACCTCAGTAGGCTGGAGCATAACCTGTAAAATTAAAGTACTGATCTCCACATCCACAAGGTGTGGACAGTGGATTCTCCCTTGCTATCTCTGTGCAAACTTCACTTCTCTGCATTTGCTGCCTTTGTTTCTCAGGAAAGACGAATGGAGAGCAAGCTAACAGTTCTACTGACTAGACTGCAAGGGGTTTTCAGAAGCACAGATAGTTTCTGCCCCGCTGTCTTTTCATTTCTTGCTTCATTTCAACATAAAGCAGATTAGAACGTTATACATCAGGAGTTGCTTTCTTACAAACTATATACAGAAAGAAGTGTGGTTCCGCTTTCTTTCTACGGTTTGAACACGATGTTTAAAATCAATAACTTATAGGCAGCACTGTTCCTGACTTCCCTGATCTGGCTTATCTCGTATTTTTGCTTCATATTGCCAGAGTAGGCTGCAGTCAAAGAACTGTTCCTTACTGGAATTTAAATACTGAAGTCGCAATGACAGTCACACTGAACCCAACAGGAGTTTAAGCACCTAACCAGAAAATTAAGTGTTTGACCATCTTTCTTGATCTGCCCTCAGGGAACTAAAATTGCATCAGACATTACTCAGTTGTGGAATTTATGTTATCAAAACTGTGGCTGAGGTTCCCCCATGCTTTTCTCAAGGTTGGCACAACCTTTGCGAACGGCATACTAGCAGACAAGCAGCAGTAACCAGGGAATTGACCCTGGAGTGCATGTTCTGCCACCAGATCCACATCCTGTGGGATCACAGCACTGACGTGTCCTGACAAACATGGCCAGAGGAGTGCACCGGTGTCTGACGGTGCACACGTGCAACTGGGTGCTTTGACAACTGGAAGACTTCCATGAAGTCTGTTGAAGGTTTTCTGGTTCATAATGTGTTGATCACAGGTGCGCATGGACTTGGGTCAGAGTGATTTCTCACTTTCATGCAAATCTCATCTTCCTTTCTTCTTTCCAGATGAATATGCACTTGCAGAATACAAAACACCCTGCTCCTCACCTTCGGCCTGAAATCAGATACGTGCCAGAATCAGCAATGATTCAGAAGGTAACAGGCAAGCATTTGTAGAGGAAGAAGAGGATAAGAGACTTGGTGGTTTCTGGGAGGGCAATGACAAGCACATAGAAGAATGGGGAATAAGCAAATCCCAAATTGCAATAGATCAGAGTGACACATTCTGGCCCACGCTTCAAAAGAGCTTATGGTTAGTGTGGATCAGAAACTCCAAATTGTTTTTCCTAACAAAGGAGACACTGTGCAGTTGTTAACCCTGACCATCCATCTTTTTGGAAACGCACGACATAAATTCCAGTGGGAGCTTTGTATAAAGGTAAACTCCTGAAATGTGTATTCTTGGCCACAGATTCCTTTTCAGGAATCCAAGATTAGGAGAAGAATCTGCTGCTGCTTCTGTAGATTTTATTTGGTTTGGACTTTCCATTTATCCTGAAAGAAGATTCTGAGGAAATTTCTTTGATCTTCACCCTTTTCAGTGATTGAACTGAATCATTTACAGATGTCAGAATTTAATCACAGGAAGACAACTATTAAGCAGTTTTTGCCTCTGTTTAGAAAGAAGATTCTTCTTTGGAGTAACATCTCATGTTTTACTGCTCTTTTTAATAAAACCTTCTGATTGGCAATGCTATTTGTCCCAGTCTCCACTCCTTGATCTATCTACAACTGGCTGCTGTAAGGCATTTCATAAGCAAAAAAAATTCATACTTTGGACAGGTCAGTCAATGACACTGACATCCTGACATCCGTGACCTCTTGTGGCACAGATGGGATCAGGGCCTTGGCCTATGTGGTGGAAGCTTTCTACCCAATGTCTAGCAGTGGGAGAAACTAGAGATTTGTAACATCAAAACTCTTTGAAATGTGGTTAGGGAAGAATGATGGATCCAATGGAGCCCTTAGAGGGAGAAAAATGAGAAGATCTGGATGGAGAGAATGATGAAGAGAACTACAAGGAGCTTATGATGGGGTGGCAAAGTATAAGAAATTCTCTGTCATACTGTCTGCATTTAGTGAACAGGTACAGCAGACAGCCACACACTGTGGCTACTGTTCCTCACAGTCTGCAGTGACCTGACATGACTTTCATCCTGACCAGATCACACTGGTGGAAGGACACAGAAGCCATCCACATATCCATAATAATATGAGCAGACATCTGCCAATTAAATCATATCACTGAGCTGCTGTTTCTTCTGTTGTGGTGTTAGACATAGTCCTAATTACAGTCTTAGAAGAGACTAGCTTATTTATCATGAAAATGGGCTTCTCAAAGCAGATTGTGATTCCTACAGACACTTTACCCAACAGCAATGTGCCTGCTGTGAGGCAGACCACACAACAGCACAGAAGCTGGTAGGAGAGGAGCAGCCCTTTGTACACCCTGAGAGCACCTTTCAGGAGGGCATCAGGCTTACCCAGAGACGGCTTGAGTGAAACTAATTCTACCGCACTAAGCAGTGCGGGAATCTTCCTGCTAAGGGGCAACCATGACAGAGACCTACAGGCTCAATGTAATCCCAGAAAGATGCAAAAGAAATTTTGAAGCTGTAGAAGCACATAAATATTGGTTTGGAAGGGACCTTTGGAGGACATTAACTGAAACTTCCGGTTCTAAACAAAAACACCCAGCAGAAACATGCAACTCAAAGCAGGAGACAGTTGCAAAGGAATAATCTCCGCTGTCTTGCCAGGACCTCAGCACTGGCCTGAGGGATGCAGGCTCTGTAAGATGAGATACAACCGTGAGCAGTGTATCAAGATGCATGACTCAGGCAACAGAAGACATTCAGACCCGCAGGCAGACCTGTCCACCAGATCTGCACTGCATTTACTGTTGTAATTCCAAATGATTTACTAAATGTTAGTTCTCCTTGTAGCCAACACCAATCATGCACAGGTCCTTCATCGCACTGTAAAGGGCAGTCATCCAGGAGATTCCCTAAGGAAAGGCCCAAGGGGTGGGAGAGAAAAAATTGAAGGACATTTTACATGAAAGCTGTAAAAATATAACCTGTCGTCCCCAAACCAGATTCCTTTCTTCTTTATGTCTTTCACCAACTTCTACATACTTTTAACAAAGAACTGTAAAGTGATTTAGCACCAGGTATGTCCACTGAAATAAGATCCCAGAACCTAAAGCCTAAAGGTCAGCAGAGGCCTACTGACATCACCTTTCTTGCTGCATCCAGGACAGCAATGTGCCACTTGTCCCTAATGAACACAAGCGCAATGCTAGGGACTATCTATGCTGAACTTCCAGTCACATTGTCTGAAGTAATATTTTTCTGCAGGGGATGTTCCCCGCTGAGTCACACACTAACATATGCATATATACACACACCTACAGGCAAGGAGCCTACTCATCAATCTGTTACTCCCAGTAGTTGCTCAGTTTTCTGCAAGTTCAGACATGCAGTAAGGTTCCTGTGCTCCAGTATGAGTTATAACAACTGTCTTTGATTTAGTCAAATACAACACCCTTCATTGCAAACCTTGCCACCTCTGCAAGCGAAGGCATTGTAGGCATGCAAAACCAGTCACTGATCTTGTCTTGGACAGTACTTGAGATCCAAACTCTGCTCAGGCACCTTCGTGGATAAAAGCCAAAGACAGGAAACTGCAACTTCATAGAGAAGAGAAGCTTTTTCTAGAGAAGTTACTGATGGGACCCAGGTCCTCTGGGACCCCTAATCACATTGCAGTTAAGCCAGCCTAACACATAGGTGTTGCTGAACAGTGTATTCTTGGTCCCGGTCGCCTTTTCTGCCTTTGCTCCCATCCATGATTTCCTGGCCCTTAAGGTGGTGCTCAGCTTGACCTCACAGAGACCAGGTCAGAGATAGAGACCTAACTCAAGCCTGACAAGATTTAGAGGGAAAAAGTGTGTTTCTTCCTTCCACCTGTTTGAATAAGCTTAACATGGGGTCAGAGAAGAAGTAGGACACAGGCAGGAAAAAACGCACCGTCCCTTTCAGCAGGGCAAGGACACAGCTCAGCTACATCAGAGACCGGTTCTGCAAATCTTGGGAGCTTTTGCAGAAAGCTGAGCAGGCAACGTGTCAGTACTGCACCTCCTACCTCTACTTACCTTCTTACAGCACAGCCCTGCCTCTGTGTGTGCTCAGTGGCTCCTGCTTAGGGTCACAGCTGTGGTCTCCAGCTTGACTTCTCTCCCTTTCTCCATCCAAACTCCTAGAAAGAGGGTAAGTCTTCCTTTCCATTGCTGTAATTTGCCTGCTTGTGTTTATAGACCTAAAGACAACATCCTGACCCAACTTAACAAAGCCAGAGTGCTCTGGTCTCTGCTCAGATCACAAAGGTGGTAATAGGAGTGTGTCTTATCTAACCTGTGATAGCCTTGGTTCCCAAACACTAGGTACTATCTAGAATGAGAAATAGTTTGAACTGAGGCATTACTAGTCACATGGAAGTCCATCCTTTTCTTCTCCCTGGAAATCCATTTCTGTTTCCTCACGTGTCCTATGAAGATGTAGTTGTATGCAATTTGAGCTATGCTCTGAAGACTTGAAGCACATAAAAATAAACCAGTGTAACAAACAATTAAACATCTCTCCCCACAAGGTCCCAGTATCTGCTCAGTCTCACATTTCAGCTATTTCCACAATCTTTGTGAAGATGGTTTCATACACTGAGGTCAAATAATAGCTCTGGGCATGTCTTAGCTGTGTCTACTTGGTCATACATCAACAGATGCAGACAAATCCAAATCCTTCTCCCCAAATCTGGGTGGGAAAGAAATTAACAAGCTGAAATCTGGAGGTTAACTGGCCCTGTTTAGACATGTCCATGGTCTGCTTCAGCACCCACTACTCTGACTCTCATGTCAAGTCACCCACAAACTTGGGTCTTCTGTCCAAAATGGCAGGGGACTTCACAAATAATTTCCATCAATCACAGACAAACACCCTTACCACTGGATAGCTAGCCCGGTGGAGGAACAAGCACATATAACAACCTCCAGAAGTCTCTTCCTGGGTGCCTTTCATGTGCATTTGGAGAAGGCCTGAGATAGGCAAAGAGTTTCTGCAGATCAGCTAGCAGGAGGATGTTCAACTTCAGAGTAGCACTGGGGTCCAGGCAAAAAAGCAGACTTCAGCAATTCAGCAACACCAGGACCTAGGAAACCTTAGGAAGCAGCTGGACAGTTGCTCTAAACAGCTGAGGAACTGGCCACAGGACTGTAAGGCTTTGTGAATTTAGATCCTGGCTGTTGTGGGCTAAGTACCTTAACACACTCAAGAACCTGCCCCTACACTCTGACATCTCTCTCAGCTTTCTAAATACACCAGCTGGCATTTGAAAGCGTCCAGCACATAGCAGCTTTTCATGTGGCAGCACTGTGCATGCAGGCGAGCCTGAAGGGGCACTTTGATGCATAGAAACAGCACTTCTGAGCACACATCATGCCATCAGTATTTTTGGGTACTCTCCTTAGGAGGGACAGAAATACAGGAATGGGAGACTCTTCTTTTCGTTGGGATGAATTTAAGGTTTGTTTTATTGAGGGACAGGAGTAGTTGCTTCCCCGAGAATTCTGGTGGAATTCCATGCAGTGCAACTGATGAGAGTTTCTACCTTTTGAAGAACGAGTGACATTTTGAGAAAAGGACGTAATGAGGTGGGTGGTTTTCACCTCTTCCAGTTCTGCTGAAACTGTTTTATCCCCAGCATTTCTGCTCCCATCAGAAGCACCCCCTGAGCACAATGCTTGACCCAAAACGTCACACTGAAAGCATTGTTATCGTGTTTGCATGAGACCTGTGAGTGACTTCTGCTACAAAGAGACACGTGCTGAGGAATCAGCTATGATTCTGAAGATGTTAAGGTGCCAAGCTGCTTTTTCATGACCCCAAACTTCCTCTTACTGTCCCATCCCTGTCAGCAGAAAAGATTGTGCGAGCTTGAAGAGAGGTCAGTGAGGCTAGTTCAATCCACCTTCTTCAGCTGTGTACACTCAGCCTGCTGCTAA